CTTTTCTACTTTCTCTCCCTCTCTCTCTCTCTCTCTTCCTCTCTCTTACTCTCTTTCACATAGCCTTTGCATCGAAAGGCGAAGTTATCAAGGCTAATTTTCCGCCTTTGTCGCATCCCTCGGTGGCCACCAGCCGGTTCGTTACTCGTGTGCCTACCACTGGCACTGTTTTTAATAACCTAATGGCTCTTACGCGGTACATTATGTCGGTATCACCATCCCCCTCCTCATCCTTCTCCTTCTTCTTGGTGTTCTCTCTCTCTCTCTCTCTCTCTCTCTCATTCGTTCGTTCGTTCGTTCCTTTATTCGCGATTTTCGTCGAAAGGACAAAAATATCCGGGCGAGTCCCTCCATTTCGCCTTGAAATTCGCGGCGAGTCGTCGTGAGTCGAAAAGAGGGAAAAGAAAAGGAAGAAAAAAAAAAGAAAGAGGGAGAGAGAAAATAGTAGTAGTAGTAGTAATAGCAATAATAGTAGTAGTAATAGTAATAGTGGTAGTATTATAGTAGTATTAGTAGGAGGAATAGAGAAGGGGAAGCATGCAACGAGAATGGGAACCCTCGTAGCAATGTAGGAAATCTTTCGCGATTTCCCTCCAACCTTTTTTCCTACTTCCTCCCTCACCCCCCTCTCTCTCTCTCTCTTCCTCCTTTTCCTTCTCTCATCCACTTGGCCGAGCGATCGTTCGCTCGTTGTCAGAGAGAACGAAGCGATCGCTTAACTCTTCTTCGTCTCTATCCTTGCCATTTCTCGTTCAATGGAGACGGAGGAGAGTCGCGATTTTCCATCCTTTCTTTCTTTCTTTCTTTCTTTCTTTCTTTCTCTTCCCTCGTTATGATTCTTCGTTTACGGAAAGAGAAGGAAAGATGATAATGAAAAAAGAAAAAGAAAAAAGAAAAAAAATAAGAAATGAATGAAAGAAAAGAAAGAAGGGTGGTTGGGCTCGATTCTCGAAGCTGTATTATCAGTTTTATTATCTCTCTGTCATCCTTATTTCGTTCGAACGATTAAGATACTTCTATTTCTTTTTAAATGCTTAATCAAAAAATTTCTAATGGGAGAAAACAAGCAATAAATTTTATCGCGAATAGATATCTAAAGTCTAAGATTTTTGATAAATAGACGACGAGTCGTTTCTTCGAGGTATATACTTACATATATATATACATATATATATATATATATATATATATATATATATATGCAAGAAATTTCGTATATCGGCTTGGCGAGTGTTCATATAAGAGAGCTTTCGAATAGATAGAAGATAGAAAGAGAGTCTAGTAAAGTCGAATCTACGGGCCGAAGGAAAAGCCAACGAAGCGAAATGGTCTGGAATTATCGCTAGGATTACTTCTATTCAGAATCTTCTCCTGCTTGTGGGATGACCACTAGCAACTACTACTACTACTACTACTACTACTACTACTACTAATGTTAGTACTCCGCAGCAGACTGCAATGACCCAGATCGTTCTACGAGCTGTTCTGTATTCTCTACTTTCTCCTTTACCTCTCTTCTTCGTACGCTTAACGTCCTCCCTAATCGATAGGAAAAAGGAAACGCGCGTACCTATACCTATTCTCTGTCCCTGAATTAATCGCGACTAAATTAAACCTTAATGGGATCGAATATATTTTTCACGGACAAAATTCAAACCGATCGATTCAAACCGAAAAGTCTCATCTCTTAGATATTTATTTACCGTGATACAATGAGTACAAAGAGAGAGAGAGAGAGAGAGAGAGAGAGAGAGAGAGAGAGAGAGAGAAAGAAAAAAGAGAAAAAGACAGAGAGAAAGAACAAAAAAGTCGAACAAAGTAGAAATAATAAAAAGCGAGTGATTACGATTCAGAAAGCAGTCCCGGTGATATTTCTTCTCTTTTCAAGACTTTACGATCGGACGTTTTTAATTTCCCGCGCGCGCTCGCGCGCCTACGCACGCCTTTAAAAAGAAAGTCCAGCAGCCGAATGCAAATTCTGACAGGAAAGTTATGCGCACCGTGAAATTAATGCTCCCACCCCCTCCCTCCCTCCATCCCTCCCCCTATTCCTACAACTCTACACACTTTCCTTTCCCGAAAGATCGAAATTTAACAGCTCGTTATGTATACTACATACATATATAACGTATATACGTACATACATACATCGATAGCTTTTCTATTTCACATTGTGACGTATATAATAATAACGACTTAACTGTAATGCTTTAAGATTGGAGAGAAATGAAGTCCCAAGGATCTATCTTTAATCTGACAGGATATCATGAGTTTCACGTTATTCTAATCGTCCTTTCTATCATGTTTTTCTTATCGTTCGGTACGAGCGTACGTTTACAAGATAAAAGTGCGGATAATAAGAAGGACGTAGAAAAAATTCAAAAAGTACAACGGAGTGTCGGTAAGGTAAGAAGTAAAACTAAAGAAACTTTTCGATAGGTAGAAACTAACGATAAGAAAATAATTTAAAGCCGTTAGATCTAATCTCGACGACGCTCGAACTGTTTCTTTTCAAATCTCGATTTAATATCACGGATATTAATTTCTTATTTTAACGTAGATATACGTAGAAAAGTAGTAAGTAGATATAGGTTTTCTTCGTCTCTCTCTCGAGCGAGCAAGCGATTCGTCCTTACGCCGGATGACAAAATGACAAAGGGAGTGGTCGCCCCGGGCCGGCGATATTACCGTTTCCGTTTCTGAACTATGCGAACAGTCTACAACACGACTCGGTCCACCACCCCCAGGCCTCCACTCTTACCCACCCGCCACCCGCCGCCTCAACCAGTTCCTTTTCCGCGTGTGCACACCAGCCTAAAACCGTCTCGTGATTGATTATGCTCGCTGTACTTTTGGCTGCTACCGGTCCTCAAGCTAAAACGCGATTGATCGACCGAGCTGGCCTTCGTGAGAAAAAGATATGGATAACTTGAGAAATAAAAAGAGCTGGATAAGGAGAGAGAGAGAGAGAGAGAGAGAAGAAGAAGAAGAAAGTGTGACAGCGATATTATTTCCATTGAATTCTTTATACCGACGGCTGAAATAGAACGAAATGGAAATATGTATTTATTAATCGTTTACAATCGAAACTTATTTCGATATGGGTTAAATATGTCTATATGTAACATGATAAAAAAAAAAAGGAAAACAAAATGAAAAAGAAAAAAGAAAAAACTATACCAAGAGATTTTACTTTGTTAATGTGTAATTTATAATAATATGGAAACAAATTTGGAAGGTAGATTGCGAAGGATAAAACGAGCAGAGAGAGAGAGAGAGAGAGAGAAAGAGAAAATGGTCTCTGTAATGTATCCGATCGTTCACATATTCAATAATTATTTCGATGGTAGCTGATGACGATGATATATATATATATATATATATATATATATATGCGATAAAAAAGGGAACGAGAGAGAGAGAGAGACTTAATTGTAAATGTCATTCGAAATGAAAATGAATTTCAAAAATAAGCTGAGAGAAGAAGAAAGAGAAGAAGAAAGAGAAAGAAAGAGAAAGAAAGAGAGAGAGAGAGAGAGAAAAAGAAGTGGCTCATAAAAATGGTGAAATAATAAGGGAAGAAAAGACGAGGGTGGAAAATGAAAGGGCGTGAGAGGAAAGGACAGGTGCTTATTTGCTTAAATGCCACCTATAATTGGGTGTAAAAGAGCTTCCTTTTTCTTTCTTTCGTCCTTCTTTTCTTTTCTCTCCTCTCGTTGTTTGCCAAGAAGGAGGGAGATAAAGAGTGAGAAAAGTGATGGCTCGCGTACGAAAGGACGAAGGACAGTAGGAAGGAAGGGTAGAAGAACTCACATTGGAGGGGCACCTTTCTCTCTCCCTTTCTTTGGACCTCGCGCGCGCCCACACCCGCCCCCTCCTAAGCATCCTCCTTCCTAGGTCGAGTTTTCTACCCTTTTCCGCGTGCTGGCAGCCACCTGATGGCTGCCTCGCTGTTGGCTGTTCGCTCGCTCGTTCGCTTGCTGGATGGCTGGCTGGCTGGCTGGCTGGCTGGCTGGCTGGCTGGCTGGCTGGCGCACAAGGGCCCGCCGGGAATGAGATGCAGATTGCCAGAGGCCACTTCAGCCGCTAGAGGGAGTGAATTTTTAATAACACCGAGACCGTACCTGCGGCTTCGCGCTCTATGTAGAATCCCATTGTCTTCTCTTGCCCGCTCTCTCTCTCTCTTTCTCTCTCTCTCTCTCTCTCTCTCTCTCTGTTTCTCTCGTCGTACGCGCGCAACCGAGAAAAAGGACAAAACGAATACGAACGATGCGTAACGGAAGCATACCGGTGTTATTATAACGCGCCAACATGTTGAAAGAGAGAAAGAAAGACATAGAGAAAGCGAAAGAGAAAAAGAGAGAGAGAGAGAGAGAGAGAAAGAGAGTGAGAACTAGTAAAAGGAGAGAAAGAATTGTCAACGACAAGACACTCAGCAGTTCTTCTTACAAAACGTTTTCTCTGATTTTGTCCTTTCTTTTTCAGAAATTAGAATATATAAGAGATGAGAGAGAGAGAGAGATGAGAGAGAGAAAGAGAGAAGTGTATAATTTGATCGAAATAAATTTAGTACTTTGGTGATCGTGTGATTTAATAATAGTCTGAATAGTGATCGTCTCTCTCTCTCTCTCTCTACTCGTATGTGTTTTTAAGAAACGTTTTCTCCGATTTTGTTATTGATTATTTTTATAAATTATAATATAGGTATTAACTATTGTAAAGTACATAATTGTGATAGAGAGCAAATGTGATATACTCTGACGATCATGATGTTTAATCGTATATTAGTTTTTACTATTCTCAGATATTTTTTTCCCCTTCATAAATTAAAAGATATATGTACGCGTACAAGTATTCAATGGAACCGAAAACAAATGTATAAATCCTTCGACGATTAGATGTAATTTATACATAGTTTAGAAACTGATAATATAATATACAATCTTATAGATTCATCTTCTGGATAAACGTAGATTTATTACAATTACGCAATCTCCTTGTTAATATCTTTTTTGTTTGTTTACTTTGCTTTTTTTTCTTTTTTTTTTTTTTTTTTTTTAGATCGATCAAAGTCAATCGATCGATTCTGCAGATCATCGCTCGGCAAATATTACGAACGAGTCTGACAGTCCTGCATTGCGTTCCTTCTTGAAGAATATCTTGAAAGCTCGAGACGAATTGAAGTGGATAGATCGGGCTGCGAATCGTTTAAATGATCCAAATCGTTTGTACGGGTTAGTCTAATGCTTAGAAAAAAAAAAACAAATTATTAAACTTCGTAGAAAAAAAGAATATACGAAATACCATTTGCGAAGAGATATATATATATATTTCTTTTTTTTTTTTAAATGACGAAAATAATAAATAAAAAAAAATTAGTCGGAGAGAAAGAAAGAAAAAAAGAAAAGTATAAATAAATTTCTTTAAAATTCATCGTGCTTATTATTTGCGTGCAAGTAAGCAATATAAAAAGAAAATTCATTTCTCTTTTGTAAACTTAGGACGAACAAAGATGTCTACGAGAGAAGGGAATCAATGAAAGATCAACGGCCTTCGAATGATCTTCGTGTTTTTTTGAACGATCGCTTGAATTCTAATAAGTATAATCAATACGAAAGGGATAACGAAGAGAATCGATGGACTCGTAATTATGGAGTTCCACGTACGAACAACGACGATTCAGGTTACGATTGAATGTTTCTATGAATTAAAGATCATGTATTAAACATAATTAAAATTATTTCGTTTATCGTGTTTATTTATATACTTTATGTATTAGATATACATATTGTACACAACATGTGCGTAATAATATAAACATACAAACATATCGATACAATAAGTGCTTTAATATGTTTGTAATAACATATGTACACACACACACATATATGCATAATATGTGTATAATAATATGTATACATATAATTTTAAATATATAAATAATTAAGAGGAAAATTATAAAAAAAAAAAATCTTTTAAAACGATTTAGATATCAAGATGATCTATAACCAAGACAAAAGAGAATCCACGGACACCGATGCATCGTTAGAAAAATTGAAACAAACCGTATTAGAATTAAAAGAAAATTTAACAAGAAGGGAGGATAATTCGGAAAGGAGCAAAACTATTGAGAAAGCGATTCTAAATAATAACGAATACGACAGACTTACCGAGATAGATTCGTCAAAAAGGAAGAGCAAAGATGAACGAAAGAAGGACACGTCGTTCTCACCGTCGAAAGATCAAAAACATACTGAACGATCGAGCGTTCTTACGAACGAGAATGAAAACACAAGTACTACACGTTTGTTTACATGGCCTTCCTTTTTCTTCGTAATTTTATACGTTAACGTGAATTCAATGAAAAGTGTGATTTTTGTTTTTCTCTTGAACATTTTCGAAGCTTATTTATTAAACGCGTGTTATTACAGGAAGACGTTTAAAAGAAAGGAAAAGAAAAGAAAAGAAAAAAAACAAACAAACAAACAAACAAATGATAGAATGGAAAGATTCGACGTATTTTTTTTGTTTTGTTTTTTTTAATAATTGATATCTACGAAATTATTTATTTAATTAATTGTTTTAAATGGAGAATTTCACTCGGTGAAACTGATCATAAAATTATTTTTTATTTTATAGTTTAAAATAGCATACTTAATCAACGACGAAGTCATTAGATTTTTTTTTTTATTTAAAACAATTGTTTATATAAAAACAGAATTAACTTGGTGGAACGAGTCAGAAACACCGGAGGAAATGGTCGATCTTGAAAGATCAATTGAAAATTCAGATAGTCAAGGTAGAAGCGTAATACTTTGGAGAAATAAAAATATTAACGTAAAGAATGATTTTCTTAATGAAAAAAATCCTAATATATATGAACGTAGTAAACGTAGCGAAGGAAGTCATAACGAAAAACAATATAATTTTAATAAAGATTCTTATAACAAAAAAACGAATCAAGAGTCCAATGACTATTGGCGAACAAATAATTATAAAGAGTTGACTAACGTCGACGATTTGATAGCGCAACAAGCTAAACTCCTCGATTATGATAACAATGATAATAACAACAACAACAACAATAATAATGATAATGATAATAATAATAATAATAACAACAATAACGTTCTCAGTGAAACTAAACGAATGACAAAACGTAAAACTCCAAAGAGAGGATTATTCTGGATAGAAGAAAATGAGAGTAATAATCGATCTTTGTCGAATAACGAGTGGAAATGTTTCATTGGTAAAAATCATCGTAAACTTCTTCAAAGTTACGACGAGAGTTTGGAGGAAGATCTTGTTACCAACGAAGGATCAACGAGGAATGAGATAAGTAAAGTCGCCAAAAGTTGTCGTGGAAGGAATGACGAAAGGAAACTGGGTAACGAAAAGTCAGCGATTAATCGAGACGAGGAAGAAGAACAACGGGATAATATCGACGAGAATTCCAAGGAAAATTTTGAAAGGAACGAGGAAAACGGTATATATATGTATATATATATAAAACAAAAAAGAAAGAAAAAAATTATAATTTTCTTTTTCTTTTCGGCTGCTTCACCAATAAAAAAAAAAAGAAACTCTCGCTAAGTTAATACCCATTGAATATTTTTCTCATTTATATATATATATATATATTTTACACAGACGAAAAGGATAATTCGAAAGCTGAAAGATACGTAAGAATGTTAGAAAGAGCAAAGAATCCGTACGAGGCAAGAGTTAATATGATGATAAAGCAACGAATAGCATTGAAACACAAGGAGGAGAAAAATCATGTTAGAAGGAAACGTTGTCCTTTGGGTATAATCGAGTATTACGATTACGACGAGGAGATTAACGAACGATCAAGAGAGTCGCAAGCTGTAGGTGATAACGAGCAAAAGAGCGACGATAAGAAGGAAAGTCTGGTTGGCTCGAGCTTAGGGCTTGGTAATAAAAATGATAAAAATTTGTCGAATCACTGCGAGAGCACAGATTTTCGATTTATTTCATATTTCTGTTATACTGTTGTTGTTGTTGTTGTTGTTGTTGTTGTTCTAAATGCAGATGATTACTTGCGAGAATCTCAAAACAATACGTTGATGAAGAAGAAGGATGAACAAGCCGAGGAACAAGAAAAAGAGAGGAAAAGAAAAGAGCAAATGAAGAACAAAGAGCCAAAGCAACAATTCCTCATCGACCTCGAACAAGTACGAGCTAAAAACGGGAATCCGTCCAAGTCTCTGAGGAGCAAGGTCACGCTTGAGGACGACGGAGAGGAGGATAAAAGCTCGCAAATGGATCGAGAAAAATCATTTTTAAACGAGGCCGCCGCCGCCGCCACCTCCGGCAAGCTTCGCAATGAGAAATCATCTCCTAGAGATTGTCAAACGAAATGGTAAATATATCTAAAATCTATCTCTGTAGATTTGTATATGTATGTAATATATATAGAGATAAAAGGGGCTTTTCTAAATCGAATCATTTTTCTATCCTTCATTATGATAAAAATCAAATCGATCGAGTTAATTAAATGAATCGAATGATTGTTAAGGTCGAACAAGGAAAAGAAACAAAATGAAAATAATCGATTGATCGAAGAACCTAATCGAGAAATTGTAAACGTCGAGAGAGTTATACCGAAGGAATCTCTCGAATATATATTCCGAGGACCAGAAACTCTCCAACGAGAGATAGTCGATGTTGTTTTCGGTGGCGTACAACCAATCGAATTACCGCAACGTGAGAAAAAGTTGGACAGTTTCGGAAAGGCCAGGTAAAATATATATCTTTGATGATGCCAATTACTTCCTCTCTCTCCATCTCTCTCTCTTTATTTCAAAATAAATAGAAATACATTTCTAGTCCCGGAGTGTTTTAGATTTTTCTTTTTCTTTTTCTGTTTTTTTTTTTTTTTTTTTTTTTTTTTTTCTATTTATACCGTCTCAAATAGATCGGAAAATCGAGTAGCTGTGAAAAAATTAGATGAGAAGGATTACGACGACATCGACAACGTGCTGTACGAGGAACTGAAGAAATTATACGATTGGGAGGATAACGAGAATAAAAACGGGGCTCGGTTTAAAGGAGATCAACGAATGCATCAGGAGTCCGATGATGATCTCGAAAGGAAGACGAATAACAATAACAACAATACGTCGGCAAGTAATTACATGGCTTTAAAGAAGACGGACGATCTCTTTAAAGGTGGAGTAGAGCAAGGCGATATTTTCGAGGAGAGAACGCCAACTAAGAATCATCAGTCAAATCCAAACTATAGCAATATCGGGAACATCGAATGGAAAGTGATCCCCGTAAAGAGCATGTTTAATATCTAAAATCCATGTACCGAATACAAATTGTTTTTATTAATTCTTGAAAAACGATATAACAAAGAAATTATAAAAAAAAAATGTTGTTAACTATCGGTCGGTTGGTCGGTCGGTCGATCGATCGATCGATCAATCGATAGATCGATCGATCGATTTAATCGTAAAAGCAAATAACGATTATATACCTACATATGTATGCAGTTACATTAGACATTAAATATTATTCCTCTGGCGGGGTACTTTACAAAATAAATGTTTTATCGCAGGTAGTGGAAACTATAAATGATTCACGTTCCAAATCAAGCGGAGTGCTTCGATCGGGGTTATCCAAGCGAAAAACTGCGCCCGAGACCGATTCAGGTTCGCCTTATGAAAATGGAAAGTACCACGATTCCATGAACGAACTAGAAGAGAACGTTCCAAGTATCGACGGTGATAAACGCTCGCTACTCGAGTCTAAAGATATGCACGAATCTTTCGTAGAGCCTATGGATCGTATCGATGATTTCGACGACGACATTAAAGTTAGATTGGGAAGAGGCCTGAAAACGATCAGCGATGATTCAATAAAAAACGAAACCTTCGACAATAACAATTCGACTAATGTTTCTTCTATAAATAATGAAAATCTAACAACGATTATGAACATTGTAAAAATACCTACGAATTACGAAATAAATATAATTAATTCGTCGTATTATACCCGAGAAATCAATGATAATTCTACCGAAACGATAAAAAAAAATGAAAAAAAAAGATCGAGCAACGAAAGTCATTCGATCGTGAATAGCGTTAAAATTGGATCTAGTAGACGTCCTCGATTGGAACCATTGGCCAATAGAAATGCATCGAGAGTGAAACGAGAAGGAAATTCTTACTCGTTAAATTACGACAAAGGAAATCCTTACGATACGTATTATTCACATTCGAACGATATCACGAAGGATCTTTACACGATTGATCCTTACAAATATAAAGAAAACGATAATACGCATTTGAAATATAACGACTTGAACGATCTTTATAAACAGAACGAGGATGATTCGAACGGTAGTAAGATTAATGATAAAAAAAAGAATAAGAATAAAAAGAAACGAAACAAGAAGAGAAAGAGGAAGAGAAAGAAGAATAAGAATAAGAAGGATAATAGGAGATGGAAGAAGAAGAGGAAGAAGAAAAAGAAGAAGAAGAAAAATTCCAATTGGAAAGTGGCCAAGAAACGTGTTAGAAATTTGAACAAAGACGATAGATTCGAGTTTCTCAGAGATACGAAAAGGAGGAGGAAACTTTCGAAACGTCGTCCATACGCGAATTTTCGCGACGTCCCATGGAAGAAGGAACAACGGCGTCGAAGAAAGAAGAAGAATATGGCCGGGAAGAAGGGAAAGGAAGTGGAGAAGATCGAAATGATGAGAAATCGTGAGACGGGTGAGGCGAAGGGAATTCGAAGGAATTCTCATGCCGATATCATAGCTGGCGCTAACGTGATTCAACAGGAGAGTGTGAACGATCAAAACGTGAGTTAAAAATTAAGAAGGTGGGGTGAGGGGGAAGGAAAAAAAATTAAAACAAAAGAAAAAATGAGTGAATAAAATTATTATCGATGACGTTTATATAAAGACGAACGAACGAACGAACGAACGAGGAAATTAGAATAGGAATAGATTCGATTAAATCGTGAAAAGTAATTGATGAGACGACAGCGCGAGTATGATGTTTTATTTATTTATTCATTTTATTTTGTTTTATTTTATTTTATTTTATTTTGTTTTATTTATTTATTTTTTTTTTCGGGGATAAAGATGGCCCGATAAATAACGAGCGATGAATATACAGACAATGAGAGAGAAGGAGACGGAGGATGAGGATACCCGTAGAAAGAAGCTCGCTATGCTCCTGACAGCTGACAACATGGAAGATGAATCTCAAATGGATTTGGCTCTTCATGGAGAATTGGCTGGAAAAATCGTCGAAAACATTTTCGAACAAGTAAGAAAAAGCATGGGATGTGCTTTCTTTGATAGATGGCGACTAGCTTGGTTAAACGAAAGCAAAAGTATTATCGATCATTTGCATCATAGGTGCAAAGGAACGAGGCCCTTAAGGTAGCTCTAGGTCCGGGACTTTATAGAAAGAACAAGCCCGAAGATTCGATCGAAACTGATAAGACTTATCATCAGGGATTCGACGAAGACGAGGTATCTCAATTTTTAAAAATATGTATCTTGATATTTTCTTTTTTGGAGAATCCAACGAAACGAGAAATCATATTATAATTTTATCATTAATTTTTAACATTGTACTTGCTTATCTCGTATTATGCCACTAAATTGAAAATATTTCAACGAAGATCTTTAAAAAAGAAGTCTCTTTTCAATTAATCTTCGAAAAAACTGGACCGATTATTCTTTGGAAACAGATAAAACATACCGAGAAGACGATGAAGAAAGTTATGGAACTTCTTGGTCGACTGGTGTTGGACGAAGTCCAAAGGAAAACTTGCGCGGCATTACCACCGGACATGCGACAATTTTTAGAGTGGATGTTGGAAGTCAACGGGCAGAAAGAATTGCAGGAACAAGTAAAAAGAAAAACAAAAGAAAAAAAAAAAAAAAACAAAGAAAGAAAAAAAAATTACATTTATCATTAAATATTAAAAATCGATCCCTCGTTATATCGACGATAGAATAAATTAAATCGTAGAAAATGTTTGATGAAAATTTACAGACACCTTTATTACCATTGGTACACGATAAAGAAACGACCGAACATCCGTCGGACGACAAGATACTTTTTCCCAAAACTTCCGATCAAGAAACTGACAAGGACGTCAACGAACTCCATAAGAAGGTTCGAATATTGCAGAATCTTATAAACGAGTATAACGCTTTATCTGCCAAGGAGAAGATAAAGGTCCAAACTGTCCACGATTATCTCGTAAATATCGTCGTTGAATCGATTTAATATCTCAATCGTTTTATATAATATAATCGCAATATTTCTTTTTATAACAATATTATTATTATTAATAATAATAATAATAATAACAACAATGCTGGCGATAATAATCAATAAATTGAAATATCTATTTTGTTTTGTTAGGTTAGACAATTAAATTCCCTTTTACATTACATCGAGGTGAAGGAAAAATCGGAGAAAAATAAAACTGGCGATAAGACGGTACCGAGTAGACGTAACGCAGAATTTATTCTTCGTTATCAGAGTGCCTCGCCAAATTTTGAATTCGACAGGAATCTCACTTTGTTCAAAAACGAGAATGCACCTGGCTTTTGGAAACTCGACAATGCCAGTTTTGCGTTGGACATTGAAAGGAAGAAACGTCGGCCCGTTCGAAGTTCCAATTATTCTTTTAATAAAAAACGACGGAAGAAGAAACGTAAGAAACGTAAACGTAAACGTAAGCGTCGTAGGCGAAATGAAAGAAGAAGCTACGATAAGAACGAAACGCCGGAGTATCGAAAACTTGCACATCATGCTGCTATGATAAGACAAAAACGTGGGGATAATTTGGAGGATGAATGGGATCAATTTGATTTCAAATACGAACAGCCAGAGATCTATAAATCTATGAATATTTTGAACGACCAGGACGGGTAAGTGATTTATTTATGAAGTAACAATAAAAAAAAAAAATAAAGAAAAAAGGGAAAAGAAGGCATTGCTGTTACTTTTTTATACGAAATTATTTTTTTCGTATATATATATATTTTTTTTTTTATAAGGCATTTATCTATTAAGTAAGCAATTAAATAAAGTGATAATAAATAAAGTAGAGATCCTTATTGTTTTTATACGAAATTATTTTTATATATACATATATATATATATATATATATATATATTTTACATAAGGTATTGATAAAATACTCATTTATTGAACAATAGTATGCGAAAATAATAGCACGCTCAGTTGGATATTAATTAACATTGAATTTTGATTTGTAGGAAAATAAGAGACGGACGATCGATCGATCTAAAGGAAAAGAAAGTAATTCTAGCAAGAGACAATGTTACCGTAGCTAATCTTTATAGAAATAATTACGACGATTTACCGGTGAAAGGTAAAAATCGTGCCGAGGACGAGATGATACTTCTTAATAAACGCGAAGCATGGAAAAAGCAAAATGAGATACAGCTCGAAGAGGTGGCCTTCGGTAAGGATATGCGAAACAGGCTTAGAGAGGAGGAACAATTCAAGAGATTGACGGGAATTAAAGGGAAAAAGATGGTGAACGATGATAAGCCAAGGGAAAAACGAGAAAACAATAAAATAGAAAAGATCGAGAAGGATAAAAAGACATTTATCCGATCGAATTTAAATAACGTCACGTTAAATATTAACACTACTGTTGTTTCCAATTACGAATTAACGACCGCTCACTCGTCTCCAAATTTTATTGATAATGACAAAATAATTACGTTGAAAAAATCAAACGATACGAGGGAAAATGAAATAAAATTAAAGATGATGGAACGAGGGATAAACGTTTATGCCGATGATAAAAATGAGACGTCGTGGACCACAGAATCGGAGAAAAGGAAAAAGAAAAAAGATTGAAATTAATGAACGATTGTTTATATAAGGACTTGGAAAGATTATATTATATTCGCCGATTACAAGGTAGAAATATAATAATAATAATAGTAGTAATAATAATGATAATAATAATAATAATAATAATAATAATAATGAGAAATAAAAAATAAAAAGAAAAAAAAAGAAAGAAAAGAAGAGAAAAGAAATGGAAAGAGAAAAGAAGACAGTCGTTATCATTGTCAATTAAATAGAACGGGATGCGATCTAATAAATCCGTCGATCGCGGAACGTCTAAATAATTTCATCCCGTGCGAACGAACGCATCGATCGCGTATGAGCGTTATCTCGGTCGACGTGTTCTCCCCATCGGAGCGCGACAGACAGCCAGCCGAAACTTCGTAAATTGTCCTGTCGTTACGATCAACCGGATGTCCTCGTGCATTTACACGAGCCCTACCTTCGCTCTGCTAATCTACACCCAAATTACTCTCAATGAGATCGATCCAATAACGAAAGAAATATGAACGAAACGATTAGTACGAGAAAGAAAGAAAGAAGGAAGTAAAAGGAACAAAAAACAAACAAAAAAAAAAGAAACAAAAAAAAAAGAGAGAAACAAAAATAGAACGTATAGAAACAAACGATATCGAAGGCGCATAGGATAAAAACAAAAAGAACAAAAAAAAAAAAAAGAAAACAAAGAAAAAAAAAGCTACGCGTAACTCTAAAAAAGAATTGAAAAAGTTTTTCCACCCGCGATTACGACACCTGTGAACTTTTTCCAAGTTTATTAAAGACCGTGTAGGTGTATATATCCCAAAGTTAACTTCCCAAGTTCTTTTAAAACCTGGTAGGAAATTGATAGTCGCCTTCCTCTTCCAGGTCCTCTTTCTTTAAAGAAAAGAAACGTCTTCGGCTTCGGCTTTTTCCGTACGAGCGCGTGCGGAACGCAACCCTCCGTTGGGATGTGCTTCAATGAAATCTTACGAATCTTTAATCACCCCAACCCCCATCGTAATCCTTTCCATCCTCCTTCTCTTCATCTCCCGTATAACTACTACCGACGGTCTAAACGATAATTTACGATGTTAAAAAAACTTGATTAAACCGATCTTAAATCTCTTTGGCAGCTATGTGCTACATGGGTACGGGACGTTAACTCGTCGATTAGTAAGAAACCAAGCAAAAAATAAAAACAAAATAAAATAAAATAAGATAAAAATAAAAAAAAAAAAGAAAAAGAAATGAAAAAAAAAAAATATATATATATATACATATATTCATTCGTCCATCCCTTACTCTATTTCTTTCGAGGATTACGAAATATCTCAAAAGTTTTCTCTTACCAAAGTTTCCACACGATGGAATTCCCTCGAGCCAATTAAAGTCCCAAAATCGGATGCGCTCGCTTATGCAAGCTAAAAGGGGTGGCTAGCTTGTAGAGGGTGAAAGTAAAAAGAGAGAGAAAGAGGAAAAGGGAGAGGGAGAAGAAGAAGTTGGTTCACTCACGCCGAACGTTATTACTTATTCGACGAGATTTTAAGGGTGGTCGACACGCGGATTTATTTAGATATTCTACAGTGAGCATCTGCAGACTCCTCTCGCCCTCTTTCTCCATCTCTCTCTCTCTCTCCCTCTCAGTCGCGTTTGCGAGCCGCATCATCTCGCGGCTCGCAACATCTCGCGGAATCTCTATTTCCCTTACTCCTCCCTACTCACTCTCGCGCATTAATATACACCGGCTTTCGAGAGGGAAGTCCTCCGGAGGACCAACCCCTCCTGCTATCTTTACATAACATTAAGTTGTTGCTATGCCAAGAGCTCTCCCATCACTCCCCATCTTTCTCTCTCTGTCTGTCTATCTATCTCACTCTAACTCACTTATTCTATTGGACTGTACGAAACTAAGGCCACTAATGGAGGTTAAAATGCGAAAACGAGCCGACGCAATTCCTTTTTCTACTTTCCAATTTCTCTTCTCTCTCTTATCCCATTAATCCTATATATATACGTTTTTTATTATTTTTTCTTTTTTTCTTTCATTTTATTTTCATTTTTTTTTTTTTTTTTTTATTACACGACAAAGAAATTATCGATCTACCAATGGCATTTTTTTTCCCATGTCGTAGGTGTTTAATATTAGAGGAAGAGACGACTCGCGATACGATGAAGCGTGTCCGGTGCCTAAAGAGAATTTCGTATTATACCGCTCGGACTATGAGGCCGGCTCGAATCCCTATTGAAATTTTAAATATCGTGCCTATTGCATCAAAGAATACCTAATTCGATGGATGGATAGATAGATAGATTCTACTCGGTTATTATTTTTCATTTTATTCCTATCCATAGATAGATATGCATATAGTATTTATTTATATATACATACACACATATATATATATACATACATACATATATGTGTACCTATGTGGTATTATTATTGACGAAATCAATTATTTATCATTATATGTAGGTTCATATAAGAAAATTCGATTATATATATATATATATATACATATATATATATATATATATATATATTCGATGGGGAGAAATATGAAATGCGAGTTTGAGGTGTGTGAGGTAATCTCGAACGATCTTCCGTCGGTCCGACGGATTCGATTGAATTGTACCGCGACGAGGACTCATTGTCGGATATGTTTAATGAACTTATCAAAGCTATCGTTAGTCACGCTCTCTCTCTCTCTCTCTCCCTCCCTCCCTCCCTCTCTGGTCGATATTATCTCGACGACGTCGACCTCGATTGTAGGCCAATATACCGTCGTTGGAACGATTCGAGTCGAATGTGCATTGTAAACCTTCTAATTGGAAAGTGAATTCGGCTATAGGGACAATCGCTGCGGAGAAAAGCTGCATTGTTTCGGAATTCGGATTACGGTCGCGGTATGCGCGGAAGAAAAGGGTAAAAAAAAGACGAAAAAATGAAAGGAAAGGAAAGAGAGAAAAAGAGAGAGAGAGAGAGAGAGAGAGAGAGAGAGAGAGAGAAAGAGAAAGAGAAAGAAAGAAGAGGATAGGCGAATCGTTAAAAATGCACGGTATGCGCTTAATAATCGCGTTCGCATTCTCGCGTTGTTTCCCACATTTTCGCGATGTTTTCGATAATACGCCTCTGGGCTTTTTGAATTTTCCCGCGGTGGAACAAAAGTTCTTAGTTAACGATCAAATTCTTATCGGCACTAGATTAGAATACATTTGTTATTTTTATGTCTAGGGATTATACCATCGTACATACATATAATCTACACTATAATTTATGAACATTTAGATTCAATCATTGTTTCTAATACATATGAAAATGAATGAGAGAAAGAGGGAAAAAGAGAGATAAAGAGAGTGAGAGAGAGAGAGAGAGAGAGAGAAAGAGAGAGATAGGAAGTTCCACTTTGATTTACGCGTCGAGTGCCAGATTGGTAGATAGAGAGTCGAAAGGGATAAAGCTCGTCAAATCCATCACGATTATACGAATTCGCGGCTGAACGAGGCCATCGGTATTGCGAGAAAGAAAGACAGACAGACAGATAGACAGACGGACGGACGAACGAATGGATGAACAGACCGACAGATAGAGATAGGGATAGAAAGGGAGAGAGAAAGAGAGAAAGAGAGAGAAATAAAGAGAGAGAGAGAGAGAAAGCAGATCGATCGTCGATTCCATAATCACGAGAATTCAACGAACAGCAAATACGACTCGTTGATCGTTTCAATGATCGTCTCTTGGTCCTAGCGATTACTATCCAAAGAAATATCTGCAAATGTGGTAATGAAAAAGATAGAGAAAGAGAGAAATGAAACGAAACGAAACGAAACGAAAGGAAAAGAAAATAAAAGAAAATAAAAGAGGTAAAGATGGTTGGTTCTGGAGAGGTCCTGGCACGCATTCTACAATGACAGATGATATTTTCGCGTATCATGATCGCAGCTAGGATAGTTTCCTATATCCTCGAATATATACAGAGAGAGAGAGGAGAGAGAGAGAGACAGAGAGAGAGAGAGAGAGAGAGAGAGAATACTAGCAGCAGCAGCAGTAACAGCAACAGCAGCAACGCACCGGCCTGGCATCGTCGACATGTCGATAGCAGGCCTCGCCGTGCGATACATCCACCGATATCTCCGTACTAGCATGGGTAGTAGTATATCCGCGACCCATCCCCCTTCATTCGACCGCTAAATGGCCGAGCGGAGGCCAACCCCCTCTTCCTATGGTGCTCAATTATTGATACTTACCCCTCTCTCTCTCTCACTCTCTCTCTCTCTTTCTCTCTTTCTCTCTCTCTCTCTCTCTCCCTCTCTCTTGCACGTGCGCGTAAGTGTATGTGTGTTGCATGCGGGTGTGTGTGTGTGTGTGCGTGTGTGCGTG